AGTTACGATTAGAGATACTAACCTCCCTCCGGAGACTAATAGGTTCTCAGAAGCCTTTGCTAACTGTATAGTAGCCTCGCTAGTTAATGTGTTCTCGGGCTACGACTAGATACCTCTCTACCCTAATAGCAGAGACCTAACTAGTTTCGAAACGCCTCTTAGACTATACCGACAAACTACCCTTCCCTAAGGGGCGACTAACTTAGTAGCCTAGTTCGTTCGTATTATAAACTAAGTCCTCGCGGCCTATATCTCCTATATAGCGATGCCTTTCCTTAACGACATCGGCATTAAGGGCCCTAAAACTAGGTACAATAATAAAGAAGTAGAGCCTAGCATCCGTAGGTTCTTTCTCGAATACATTTAGAACCTCGATAGTGTCCTCTGCGACCTAGAGCGAGCTAACCTAATAGTATATAGGGAGAAGCTCTAGCTCCTATGTAAGCGAATAAACATTGTCGGGTTTGTAACTAATAAGAACGGCCGCTATCCTAACAATATACGGGTCCTAAAGATTGTGTCCTAGCCCGACCCTACCTATTAGAAAGATATCCGGATCTAGCTTAGAGTAGTCTCCTACTTCCGCATCTAGGTCGAAAACTTTACGTTAGTATACAAGCCTCTATACGCCTTGCTTAAGAAGGATATAGAGTTTGAATAGACCTCCGTTTACTAAGCCGCTAAGGACAAGGTTACTAAGGCACTTATTAGCGCGCCTACGCTTACCTCTATCGACTACTCGGAAGGCGTAGGTCTGCTAATTATTACTATCGACTCGAGCGGGGAAGGCTACGGCGAGATACTAATATAGTGTAATCGTAAGGAGCCCTCCTTACGTTACCCTATCCGGTACGAGTCCGGTCTATAGAAACCTATCGAGGCCCGATACGATACTAGTAAGCGAGAGTGCCTTAGTGTCTATAAGGCTCTTAAGAAGTTCCGACCTTAGCTCTTTAGAGTATTCTTTCGCCTAGAAGTCGACGCTTAGACGCTAGTCTATTAACTTAACCGTATAGCCTCCGACCTACCTAACTCTACGATAGCTCGGTAGGTTGCCTAGATCTATTTATTTGATTTCGACGTCTTCTATGTTCCTAGCAAGAAGCATACTAGACCGGATAGCCTCTCTAGAAGGCCTACTATAGAAGAAGACATCGCCGAGATAATAGAAGAAGAGGATATCGACGCGGTTATTAACCGTACCTTCTTTACTACCTTCTATATTAACGCTATACCGGTAATTACTAGGTCTACTACCGACGACTAACCTAGTAACTAGCCTAACGAAGACCCTACTACTAACGGCGAGGACTAGGACGATACTAAGGCGGGCGAACTAGGTAGGGATAATATCCTTAATAGGGTCTACTCCGACGACTCCTATAATATCGCCTACTTCCTTACCTATACGAAGAGAGCTCCTAGTCTATTAAGGAGTTAATACCGTCGTATTATTCGCTATTCTCGGAGGTTCCTTATTAAAGATCGCATCCTTTAGCGACAGGCTATAATTAATGCACCGCTATAGCGTATTATTAACGATCTAGTAGCCCGATAAGAAATCCTTCGCTCTGTTTACGATAAGCTCGGCTACCGGGCGGCGGAGGGCACCTTCGATGTCCTTTGTCGACGCTACTAGTAGGACGGCGTATAGGCTAATATCTCTCGTTACTATAAGAGCTGTCCTAAATGTAACTTTAGGAATAGCTACCGGCGTCTAGGAGAGCTTCGTATCCCTACTGCCTAGTTAGTTAGGGAGCGGTAGTATAGCGATAGGGTCTATCTTAGCCGCAATAATAGCCTATATATTATTCGAGAGGGTCTTTCTTAATAGCCGGAGGCCTATTATTTCTACAAGGGTTGCGGTGCTATTAATGCCCGTAATATAGCTACCTTCCTATTTAAGGATCTGTTTTGCCGCTAGGGAACACCTTACGAGGTTATCTTAAACAACGCTACGAATAATATAGCTAAGGAGGTTTAAGCGCTGCTTATTTCGTATAGGGCGAAGAACGTTCGCATCTCCCCGTACTATCCCTTGTTGAATGCTATTGTTAAGCGCGGCTATCGGTCGTTAATTAATGCCCTATCTAAGATAACTAATAGTAGCGATAGATTAGTTCCTATTTCTACCCGCGTCCTAGCCCTTCTCTAGGCGGACCGAACTACTATTGTCGATACGACTAGACTTATACTAGCGGAACTTATAATTGGGAGGGACGCCGTTCTTCCTATTAAATTGTCCTACCGCACGTACGGCGTTTACGATTAGGGGTCTGTTTGTACTAGGGCAGATCTTCTTGCCCTACGGGCTAAGGCTCTTAAGGATATAACTACGACTTCTTAAGAGGGTCTTGCTCGACAACGTCGGCTTTAGGAAGAGGCTAAGCAGTATTTTGATAACTATAATACTATTAATTAGGAACCTCTAAAGGTTAGCGATATAGTCCTTCTATACCGGTCCGAACTAGAGTATAGTTACTCCTATAAGCTAGCCTTTAAGTAGAAGGGTCCTTACAGAGTAAAGGAGGTCCTTTACTCGGGTTCCGTATACCTTCTTTAGGAGCTAGATAGTGCTACCTTAAAGCACTCTTACCCTCGGGCTAATCTAAAGAAAATCGTTAAGTTACGCGAACCTACCTGCCCTCCGCCGACCGAGGAGGAAGTTAGTGCCTCTATAGACCCTCTACCGTCCTTAGATGCCTATCGGGAGGAGGATCCTACCGCTATTATAGATCCTGTTCTGCCTAAGAACTATACCTATCCCTAGATTCGTCTTAGTAAGCTATTAGGAATAACTTAAGAATAGAGGGAGGGTTATATACGGATTAACTATATATAGAGCGTTTCCGATATTGATTCCGATTCTAATAGTAAACTAGACTTCTAGCTATCTAACTCTAACTCCGAGGAACCTAACTAGTCTAGCGACGAAGACCGCCTAGAATTATAGCTAGATCCTAAGACTAAATGATTGCTTGCTCTTCCTTACCTCTACCTGCCTCTACTACGTTGCTTCCTTACTCTTATCGATCGTTCTCCGCGCTATTAATACAGTGCCGCCCTATACCTTTAGTCCTTACCTGTTGTCTATTCCTACTAATGTTTATACTCTCGTTTGTTGCTTTTGGTTTATCCTATTATTGTCTTTTACTTTTGCCTTTACCTTCGATTGATATTGCTATAACTTTATTCCTTCGCTCTTGTTTCCTTAGATAGAACTATACGAGGCGTGTTTTCCTAATAATACCCTAGGGGTAGTATTAGGAAGATAGCCGAACCTAACCCCTCTACCCTTCTAGGACTACTTCCCTCTAGATTCCTAGACTCTAGTAACCTTCCTTAAGTAACAACGATAATAAGATACTCTACTAGAGGAAGTTCCTGCCCTAATTAGCACTAACTACGTAGGATACTAAGAAAGGGAGGATCCCTCTCCCTTCCCAGCTCTTAAATAGATATAGCAACCTAGGCCTATAGCCTCTAAGAATAGGGACCTTAGGTCGCTAAGCTTTATATCTAGAAGAAAGAAGAACGCACGAGCTACGTTTACATGCCTGCTGCTATAAAAGGTAATGCTGCATCTATAACGATAGTGCTTATAGGCAAATAAAGCTGCCCTAGGCCTAGGCGAATT